TGTGGAGATTTTACCTCCCTTGTGGATTATGCATTTGATAAGTCTGTTACCACATATTTAGGCAACATGACTTGTGGATATGTCTGCTCAGTATGAACATCAGTTTCCATAGACATATACACAGAATATTATTCATATTATTGATAACTGATTTACAATTCTAGATAACCTAGACTAAGATAAGATCTGTGCTGTCAACATATGAAGAACATTATTGGTGATTGTTTGTTCATTGCTGCTTACAGCATCAGGTAATACCAAGTTATGATACAATGTACCATATATGCTGGCATACAAAATGACTGGGTGTATAAGACAAACCCCAAGTTATCAAGTTAAAATGTAGGTTTGGGGCTATATTCACCTCCCTCAAATCACATTTTAAAATGTATTGTATTGAATTTATTAAATAAATTCATTAAGCATATACTTTCTTTTCACCCAAATTCTAATGAAAAAATGGTGGGGAGATATCCTTTCCATGAACCTAGTACACCAGTGGCTCCATGTCTCACTATTTCTAAATTCTGGTGGCCCCCTGTAATAATTAATTCTTACATGTATGCCAATTACACATGTACATACATGCACACAAAATATTTTTATGTATGCATACTGTATATGAATCATATGTATTAACACGCATTAACATTAACACTCTCACTTAGACACACTAGAAAGCAATTCACTGTTAATAACTCATTCTCAAATTGCCCCCTTATTCTGTTGGTATAGTAAGCCAAAGGGTGCACATCCTATGCATACCCCACCAAAATATTACCATGCCCCATCAGTGGGGCATGTGTCCCACATTGGGAATCATTGTAGTACACCAAGGTGCAGTGGCCTTAAATCCTTTGGGATCTGGGTTAGATTTAACCCACTTAAGTGCAAAAATATGTATATTATTTTGTGTTATTACATGACTATTTTTACGGTGTTCATGCACCATGTCTGCTACATGATTTTCAAGTAGTGTCCAATGTGTAGTGCCTGTTCTTAATGCACATTTTCTCCTTGGAATTCTCTTAATGTATCTTCTTTACCTCTCCAGTTTCAAATCATCTTTTCTATTACACCATAATGTCTTGAAGCAGCACAATTATTATGTTCCTTGGCAAAGTTTACTGCATTCAACTTTAAACATGCTTCATATTTCCTTCTTTTATCAGTAGTTGGTGGAGCTATGATAGGTTCTTGTGATAGCTGGATTCTAATGTTGTCCTAGATAATACAAGTAACAAAGAGAGCTTACACCTCCCCATGTGCCGACAAGAACTGGCTAGTAGGCTAAGCTATGATTACCAGTCTATTCCTTGAATTATTACTATAAACATCTTTTTTCCTGTTGAAGTGCTTCAAACTTACTCAAGGCTAGCAGTTGTTTTGTTTACAGTATGTGATAATGGTCTTGAATTTTTCTCTTGACAGATATGTGTTATTGTTACTATGCAATCATACCACATATTATATAAGTTAAAAGTACTTTTATTACACTACACTCTTATTAAGCTTTTATTCATATTATTTAAAAAAATAGATTTGTATTGTTCATAATAAAAATTCTTTATAAAAAATGATTTTTTACAGTTGGTTAGAAAAATATTTATCAATGGTAAAACATGTACTGTTCATTGTAAATGATTTTTTAATGTGGATTAAAAAAATATTTCTGAAAAATAGATTTGTATTGTTCATTATAAATAGTTGAAATTCTTTTATATATTAAGTCATGGAATTGATTTGCATGTTGTGACCCAGAGCCCTTAAGAACTGACACAGATCTTTCCTCCACTCACTATAATCTTTGCATAAATTTCTTAATCTTTGTTGAAGATCAACATAATTTTTTTTTTGGGTGGTTCTCCAATTGCATTTCTAGAAATTACTACACTCACAGAATTTTCTTCTTTTTGAAGTGTCTTTATAAGTTTTCAAATAGATGGATTTTGGTATCCAACAAGTGATAAAACTTGTTGTTCTAGCCTTCAAACAAGTTATTGGTTTTGGGATTATTATCCAACATAGCTTGATGAATGTTCCAAACCTCTGGCGGAAATTTTGCTGGAATACACTATAGGGTTAGGTGGGGTATACTTGCCTGGAATTTGAATCTTCTTTGGGCATATGTACCTGAGACATGTTTGATCAAAATAATTTAGCAGTGGAACTGCCTCTTTGGGATATTTACCTGTAAGCATTCCAGCTGGAACATCTCCTACTGGAAGGAATGCAAGACAATCAATCTCTCCACAGAATTGTCTGAAGTTGTCATTTTCTTTGTAGAGATTAGTCAGGCCTAGAGTTTGTATTTTTCTCCAGGTGGTCTATGCCAGGTGATAAAAGTAATCCTGCGTAACTGTATGTGGTCCAAAAACACGGTTAATGCTTGGATTACTGCCTGTTCAAAATCAACAATGATTGTTGTTGGGTCTGCATACAACATAATCTCATGGCAGTGATCAACAACAGCTTGCAGCAGAATTTCATAGATGTCTTGAGATTTGGTCTGCTGTAAGGCAAAAACAGTAGAAACTGCAGTATTTCCAAGTGGTGCCCATATTACATACAGTTGTCTAAAGTTTAAACCCTGGTGGTGACATTGAGAAATTGCCATCCATCATCCATGTATTGCATGATGCTAGATTCCTCGGAACCAAAAGCAATGATTTGGGTGGTCATGTTGGGCCTATTGTCAAAAAAGAAAAAATGGCTTTGGTTGAGACACCAAAGTGCTTCACCAGTCTTTCTGGTATTGGTTGATAGTTTTTTCTTTGAGTCCTCAAAGTTCTTTTAATAGTGTACTCACTTGATAGCAAACTCATGGCTTCAGTTGAAAATCATTGAGATCATTGTTATAAATTTGTGACAATAGTTCTGAAATTGCTGATTTGGTTTTCATCCTTATTATGACCTTTTTCACTGAAAAATAGCAGCACCATCAGAAGCATGATTATAGTTGACTGTTAAAAATGGTTCTGTCAGTTCAAGAGTTGTAACAATTGTTCCTTTGCAATAATTATCCCTAACACATTGCCATCTTATTGTATTATTTTTTGGGGATATGTTTTTTTGTGTTGTACATGTATCAAGGCAGTCACGTCTTCCTCTTCCATTTGTAGAAATAATTCAATAACATGTTATAACAATAATAATTAATGATAAATAAAAATAAACGTTTATTTTCAGTTGAAACAAAACAAAGTTTTACACAGAAAATATTACATATAATTAAATTGTAATTGTAAATTAGGCTGCTGAGTGCTGCTAGTATTTCTGTGAAATAACCTTTGTTGTTTCTCGGAATTTAGCATTTTGCAAAACTTTTTTACACAGCAAAAATAAATTATGTGAATTGATAATAATTTTAAACAATGAGTGGGTGCATGTGCTACGAGTTAAAAAAAAATACTTTTAATCGAATTTAAGAAAAAACGTACTGGACATTTCCAATGAAAAATCAAACATAACCGAACCTGTTTTTTTTTTTTTGTTTTGTTTTGTTATGTGCCACAATTTTATATTTTACAATAATAAATAAACTGTTTCTTCTTCTTCTTCTTTTTTTTTTAAATTCTCAATTTTTTAATGTTTAAAAGAATATTCGTTACAAATCAGAAAGTGTAGTGCCTAACCAATAGAAATATGAAGAATTAAAAATAAAGATAATTTTATTTAGACAGGTGAAGGTGCATGATTTTGTAGTGATTACTACTATGTTTGCCACGTCTACATTTTTCTGAACTGTGATTGGTTAAATAATAAATACTAATTATCACAGGACAATTTACTGATCGCATTCACCACACTGAATTTTTCCTACCGTTAACTTACAAATATACTTTTGTTATAAAATCACCGATTGGTTAATTTTTCATCCAACCAGATATTTTTCGTGTTCTTTCAAAATTTATCCCGCGTTCGTGCTGGGAGCCTCCAATAGTAATATAAGTCTGGATTCACTCCCAAATTAAACAGTAGAGTTGAAGACAGTAGAACTCAACTACTCACATGCGTCTACACAGATTATTCATTCTACTCACTCCACACGCACACACGCAGACACAGAACTTGAATATCATTCACCATCAGTTCTTTGTGAACAAGCCAAGTTGCAACAACTCTGTTAGTTACAAAACACACAACTGTACGATCTTCTGAATACACATTCTATTTTAACACAGAACTCTGAACATTATATTCAGAAACTTGCTTATTTAAATATCACCATATTCAACTAACAGGTAAAGGGAAACTACTTTTTTCTTCTTATTCACACATTACAAAAATTACCTTGTATTTGTTGTTGATCTCCATGAGATCACTAAAAAAAAGCGCATAGTCTGATGAAAAAGACGTCAAACTTGACGAAAACAAAATTTTATCGCCAAAATGTTTATGTTACTATTAAGAGTAAAGAACAAAGTAGATTTTAATTATTTTTAAAAATTTTTCTGTCTTTATTACAACATTCTAACTTTCGATTGAAAAACTTGTTTCTTGTCATCACCGGAAGTCTCTGTAAAAATAACATAGCGAATTTTTTGTGCATTTTTTTCTTACATGACACACATTAATTTTGAAAATTCTATTTTATTTGCTTGAAAACAATAATTAAATAAATACCTATTTCAAAAATTTTATTCAAAAAATATTGGAGGGGAGAGGCTTAGACCACTACCCACCTCTGCTTCAGAAAGTACGGACCTGGTAATGGGGTCTAGTTAATTAATAGTACTTTAAAGAATATATCAAGGAAGGAGGCCTAGCTCCCTAGCCACCACGTTCTGGAAGTACGGCCCTGGTATTATTACGTAATGAGGTTTTATCTGGACCACACGGTTTTCAATTATTTAAAAATATAGGAGAGGAGTATCTTATTCTTTTATACCAAATCTGAAGAGTTCAGTCAACTTTAAAATTGTTCATTAGAGTTATGTGCCCTTTCCCAAATTTGTTGATTTGTCTCGTCGGACTTCACTAAATTTCCAATTAAAAAAATGGAGTTAAAGTACGTTGAACCATTGATTACTCCCCATTTTTTAATTTTCCGTGATTTTATGACTTAAATTTTATTTCCTCCATCCACTTTCATGTCATTTGTCTACTTTGCTGAAGTCGCATATGCGCACGTGTTAAAAAGTTTTTCTTTTAAGTTTTAAATGAAATCTGTGTTCCTATCACGCTAGCGGCTAAAATGTCTAAATTTTTGTTAAAAATTATTTAAAAAGATTCAGTGGTTTAATTACGCGTGTGCTCAATGTATATTTTACGATTTAAAATGTAACACTTAACACAACCGAGTACAAATTTAGGATCAGTTAATTGAACGGCAATGCCATAAATGCTAGTAAAAATTTTACAAGCTAAACTCCTACTTTAGCCATTCCCCATCCCTTTTTAAAATTTAATTTTGATAAAAGTCTCTATAATCAGGACCATAATTCGCGGGTTAAAATTTATATATATATCGTTTATTGCTTTTATAAATTTAATTTTCAAATACATTTTTATTGATTTTCTTCGAAATATTCACTATTCAAAATCGATTCCCATTCGTGCAGTGCTTGTTGGTTCTGAGAGAACGCTTTTAGATGAAGCCAACTATTCTTTAGTATTATTAACTAAAAAAAGATCCATGTCTTAAATAAAAAAAAAAATAAAAATTATTTTCATGATTTAACTTTGTGACTGTACCCCATTATAAGCGGATCAACCACCACTAATGATCGTAGAGACATAACCTTGTTCAATACTCTTTGGATGATTGCTTTTTTCGATCTATCAAGAACAAATTCTAGAAAGTAATTGTTTAAATTCAGAATTTCTTTCAATTCCTCCAAAGAGCCATTGTTGATGAAGCACATTGCTGCGATTATATTTTCTTTTTAAATCAGTATTTCATAATTTTTTGTCTGGGTCTCCAATATCGCGACTGTGTTTGTTTTGTTTTGTTTTTTTTTCAATGAAATTAGCAGCACACATCCCTACAAAATCTGAACCAGTCAACTAGTGTTTGCTTCGGATAATTGCAGTTAGTTAAAAATAAAATCAACCACTTAGGATAGCTCTTTTTAAGAGTACTGACAAAATTACTTTCATTTTTTTGCGTATAGCGAATTATAGCTTCGATTCTAAACTCTTGTTTTGCCAACCTTTTACTTTGTTTAACTTTTAGTTCTCAAAACAAAAACGAAATATTTTCGAAATTAATGAATGTCCTATTCGAACAAAGCAAAACATTTAGCCATACTTTGGAAAATGAATGTAAATAAATATATCGTTAAAAAATTTTATGAGATTTAATTAGTTGTTAAATTTATTCAGACTCTATTATCGAAAAAAATGTGTTCAAATTTGTTTTAGACAAGGCAAAAAAAAAAAAATCTCAGGGAGATAATTCCATATTTGGTGTGAGGGATTTGTTTTACTTTACTTTTGTTTAGATTAAAAACAAAATTAACAATACCCCGGAAAAGCAACTTCTTGTCAAATAGAATTTTTATTTTATATTCATTTCATACATTCCTCAAAACAGAAAAAATAATACAAGTTGATGTTAATTATGATTATAAGAGCTTCATCACACAAACAAATGATAGATTCTCTAACTAAAGATTATTAGAGTTCATATTGATCCCATCATTGATAAGAAAAAAATCAACGTTGAATGAATTTTAAATATTTTATGATTATTAAAAACAAAATTAAAAAAGAAAATAAGGTATAAAAAAATCCAAAATTCCACCACTTTCGACTAAAAATAGCGTAAAAAAGTCATGTACTGTCGTTCCGCTGTAAAAACAGACAAATGACTGGATTTACAGTCACGGACTTAGAAAATACGAAAAATGTATTTTAAATAATTTGATTTAAATGTCTGCTTTAAAGTTAAATTTTGATTTTATTTGAAAGATAATAAAGTTAGGTACCCTGAAACAAAACTATTAGCTAATGTTTTTTAATTAAAAAAAAAACAAAACAAAACGTACTTCCACTTTTTGACTGAAAAACAACATAAATGAAAAACAAAGTTTAATAAAAACAAAGTTTTATCGTCAAAATGTTTATTATTATTAATAAGAGGAAAGAACAAAGTATTTTTAAAAGAATTTTAATTCTTTCTAACGTTCGAATTTGTTACTTAAACATCTTGTTTTTTTTTTACGTTATGGTTGAGTCTTTTTGAGCTTTTTTTTCCGGTGAAAAACACTGATTTGGAAATTCTTAAACAGTTTCTTTTTTTTTTCTCCCACTTCTCACTTGTGGAACTCTCTTCTGGCCTCTCTTGCTTCCTAGTCAACTTTGATTTTCCAAAATTTAAATGCAGTGTTAAATCGTTATCTTTTGTTTTCTTCATTCCTGTTTTTTTTATTGTTCTCTCTCCATAATAATGTTTTTCTTTTTCTCATATTCTTTCAAACACAGAAATCCCTTGCATTTTAGTGGCTTTATTGCCTTGCTTGGGGTGAAATGATTAAAAAATATATAATGCTTACTTTTGCTTAAAAATGTAATGGAAATAACTTTTTTACGCACGTTACCCTGTGATCCTTACATAGGTTGTTAAATTAACTTTTAACAAGTTTTCTATAGTAATCTTTGACTTCAAAGTGCAAAAAAATATTTTTTTAAATTTAAGAAATGCAGAATACAAGCAGTGAAATAATCAAGAAATTGGCATTTATGTTTAAAAATAAATTACATTTAACCTTATATAACCAATAGATTAAGAATATAATTTTTTATTCTATAAAGCTTAGAATGAATAATTTTATTTTTTATACATTAGAAGTATAAAAAAGAAATTAATTAAAACTAGTCAAATGATACTTTTGAGTTTAATTCATTGCTTTTATTTTTTTTAATTATTTTCTTACCTATTTGATATCATAAAATACTTATTTGCACCCAATGAGTTTGATTCTAAATTTAAGTTATTATCACATACTATATTACTCTTATTAGAGTAGTTAGTCAGAGGAAGTAAATCAGGATTTTATTTTTCAACTTCTGTACAAAAAATGATCTAACAGTTGCAAAAATGAAAAAAACAATTTTCATTCTTTTAGAAAAGGTTCACACTTAAAAATGGCATTAAATTTTATATTTTTCAATTCTTTATCATGTCTTTATTTAATAAAAAGAAACTCTTGTTAGGACCAGCAATGGGATTCATTTTAAAATTGCACAAAAATTACAAGTAAAATTTTTTTTTTAAATATTAAATGTAAATTTTTTTCTTGTTCACTTTGAAAGAAAATAATGTATTTTATTAAATTATGCAAACAGCAATGCTCAAAAAATTACTTTTTTGTTTTATCAAATTATTTTTGTAAGGTTCGGGATGAAGTTTTTCTATATTCACAATTGATATTGCATAAATTTTTACTGGAGTAACATCTTCAGGGATTTTTTTTTATATAACTGTAAAAACATTTTGTGAACACCACCCAAATTAAAAAGTATACACAAGATATAAAGGGTGTGAAAGTGACCCCTCCCACTAAAAAAATTTCCACAAACTTTATAAAATGACATATTCAGTATACAATTATTATTCATTAATTAATGAATAAGTATTGAAATTTTTGTTTTTAAACTGTTAATTCCCTTATTTTTGGCAATTTTTTAAAAATAGGGAAGCAATTTTTTGCTTTAATTTTATAAAAATCACATCCATTTTAGTGGAACCTAGTTTAAAGTTCCATGTTTCTACCACAGATTCTCCTACAGGATAAAGGCCTAATGGGTAAAAGTGCTGACAGTTGTGAGTTCAATTACTGAGTCAAGTAGACAAAAAATATTTATTGAATAATGTATATAATTGATTTTGCTTATTTTAAATAAAAACCTCTTAAATTAATCACATTTCAGTGAAAACTTGTCCAAGCTATTCAGATTAATATTCTCATTGTGAAATAATCACTCATCTTAGAATTTCATATTACATTTAAAAAGTGCACATTTGAAATTTCAAAAAAATTTTTCTATTACTTGATCATTACTAAAAACCTCTTAAGACACTTGATAGATATTGATATCTTTAATCAAAATTTACATATAATTTATTTATATATATGTATATACAAAATTAACTCCAAAAAATATACTTGTAGGTAATAAATATTAACAAATGTCTAGTTGAATTTGTTATGTGTCAACATTTCTTCATCTATTTTGAAAATAATATTTGTTGGATATGTTAAAATATGTGCAAAAACTACCTGCTTAGTTTCATTCCATTCAAGTATAATTATTCTTATGAAATTTTCATTTTTACTTTCATCTTTCAAAACTCTCCAATGGCTGAGGACAAATAAACATTAACTATCCCAATAGAATCAATAATGTACCTGTAGGTAGTAATTTGTAACAGAAGAATAGTCTGTAATTAATGTGCAAATTGAATGCAAACATTTTATCTTTCAGTGAGGATCATTCACCTTCCAATGAAGACAACAACAATGATGATGAGGATGATGATATTCCGCAGCTCTCTGCAACTACAATGGCAGCCTTGCAGGAATTCTATGCAGAACAATTGCAGCAATTAAACTCAAATGACAATGAATCTCAAAATTTCAAAGAAAACTGGGTAAGATTTCTTAAATAAACAAATTTTATTCTTTGTAAAATAAATAATAAAATAGGTACAATGAGAAATATTTTTACCCAATTTTTAAAATATTTTTATTTCTCTATTTTGCTTTATTTTCTTCATTAATAAATTGAGTTAAAATCTTGCAAAGCATAAAAGAAATATTGTCAGTCTCACTACAACAGTTATACTCTTGAAAATTCCATATTTATAGATTTTGTTCTATAACTTCATCTTTTCAATAAACACAGAAATTATATATATATATATATATACTAGTTTGCCATCAAAAATTACTAATAAGTAATTTAGAAAATACATTGTAATCATATCAAAAGCTTTGTAACACTTGTTTATGGTTAATACTTTCTGAATACTAAACTAAAAGCAAAATTAAAGATTACAATTACCTTTGCTTTGTACTCATGCAATAAATATAAACAATTATAATAAACACAATTTGAAATATAGAGATATATGAACCTATTTTAAAGGTTTATTTATATACAAAAATAATTGCAATGTAAGAATTCCTATTTTCTTAATATATTTCAGGATTAAGCATGTATTATTTCTGCTATATTATCAGAAGAGTTCACTATGTATAATCAGTTTGCCTATCTCTATGCAGTGTAATCTTCTTGTTATGTAAAAAAGTCTTACACTCACAATATGTTTTTATATATATATATATATATATATATATATATATATATATATATATATGGGGGAGTTCTTGACTCACGACAGAGTTCTGTTCCTATACGTCGTAACATGATTTTCAGTATAAGACAGAGCGTACCTGTAATTTCACTTCCATAGCGATAGTTTTACTTTTCTTCGGAGAACCACCACCAGAAAAGTTTAAACTATGCTTGGGAATCATAATGAAGGGCAATAAGTTTCCACAACACCAACAAAAGAGAGTGGATGCACAACAATTCAATATGGCATACAAACAGAAATCAAGATTAATGGAAATAGTATCATAACCATGAATGGTCGTAGGTCGGAACTGTTGTAAACCGAGGACTTACATGTATATATCTTTGATTAAATATGGCAGACAAGGAAGATCTTCCTTGTCTGCCATATTTAATCAAAGATGTTTAAAAGAATGGTTTCTGCCCAAAATATGCATTAATATATATATATATATATATATATATATATAAAAATAGGAAAGAACCATTAGGTTAATAATCCAAAGTTCTTTAGTATTTTTGTTTTATTTTTAAAAATCAGTGCTCAATACACAAGTAGAGCCTATATTATAATTATTTTTTGATTCCATCACTACATAAGAGTTCTCATGTTTCAAAAACAGAAGCTAAAAACTTCAATTTAATTATAGAAATTAAATTAAAGTACTGAAGAGTAAGTGTTCTCAAAGCAAATTTGTGGCTTTCACAACACAAAGAAAGAAAATAACTTGTAACACGTCAGGAAAATAACTCTTTTAACGCCCGAGCTAAAACTGCTGAATTTTCCTTCCCCGACAGACAACACACCAACTGCTTTTATCGGCAGAACCTATTTTTCCATTAAATCGACAGCCGGGATAGGATGTTCCGTAATTTGCATATTAATACACTCTTATATAGCGACTCCTGTGACGAACTTGTTTCTTTTTCGCTTGGGTTGACGAGGTAAGTCGCTATAAGAGTTTTGCTGACTACTTTTGGCAATCCCTCCCCGCAGATCGCACACAAAAACACGAATTTTTTTTCTGGGGTACTTGATTATCTCGTTCACTACACTCCCCCTGTCACATAAGTGACACTCATGGGCGGGCCTCTTTATTCTTAAGCTTCTCCAGGACGGGGCAACTGTGGGAGGAGATTGTGTGTTATATTCTGAGGTTTCTTCTGATCTGACAACCTCATGCGCAGAGTCTTCATCATCTGAAGAATGTTCTGAAGATTCTTCTTCTGAGGATTCTTCTGGTCTGACAACCTCACGACAGAGTCTTCACCATCTGAAGGGGTGCTAGCCCTACCACCGATGGTAATTATTTGTTCACTTTCTGAGCACTCACTGCTAGTGTCACTTGTTGACGTATCTGTACCTACATAGTGACGCAAGTCCTTTATGTGTCTTGGTATGCCATCAACCAGCACAGAACGCGAGTTACTTAGTCCAGTGACATGCCCCACCCGCACCGGGTTGTACACCGGCTATGTGGAGATTTCACCCACACGCGATCGCCCAAGTCATATGGGCGCCGTTCGTTTATCCGTTCAGTTGAACGCGTTGCGTCAATGCCTCCGTAGCGGACTTTATACTGATAAATCATGTGGGCTGGCGCAGTTGAGGCGATACATTATTGTCTCTCGGAGTAACATTGTACCAATACACCGCCTCCATTATGGAACACTGCTTCCTAGCAGCCATTCTTTTGATGCTCGATGACATCGCCGACTATGCCATTCCCTGATGGGACATACGCGCAGCGAAAATCTGAGGTGTACTCCCCACGGCCACAAAATCTTTGAATAGTTCACTGCAGAATGCAGTGTCGATTTGTCAGTGAGGAGTTCCGTCGGAGGTCCACGTTCAAAGAACAATGACCCCAAGTGGTCAATGACGCTTGGAATCCTGTCGATGAGACACCGCCAAATAGTGAACCGGTTGGGCCACAATCAATCAGGGTTAAATAGTGATGTCGTTATAATGGGTGATGTCCATTCCAACACGGTGCCACACCTTGCTTACACTCACTTGTCCTTTTTGCCATTGCACAGGTGCTGGGTCGATGGACTGACACTCCTTGCATTCTCTGACCACTGCCCTGACAGCAGCTTTGGATACGGAGGGATCAATCTGCCTCATTTAAATATGAGGTCCGTTTTACACGGGATGTCCGTTTTGGCAATGCACAGATTTTAGTAAATCTGAGTTATAGTTGCTCGTTGATGTTACACAGACATGTTCTACCGGCTCTACCTCTTTCTTAATAGCGTCAAGCCATTTTTTGGGGTACCCTTGTTAAAGTATCGGCCTTGTTCTGCTGTGATCTGACCAGCTGTATGTCTCACGGATAAGTGGTATTCACTTACCAACTTTCCCAGTGTGTCTAGCCTCCTTGAATGAGCATCTCGCTTCGCAGCCTTTGTCGTATCCTAGCCTTCCCGTAAGAGTGTCTGCTATCCACTTATACACGCATGCGAATCCGTGAATAAATGCAATACCTTTGCATTCCATTGAAGTGCCGCGGTGACTCCCCTGATAACGGGGCGTCTAATTCTGACAGGTTGATATGTTGCGATCCTTCTCGGACGCAACCAACACGCATCTTCCACAACAGTGTCACCTACTTCAAGAGACACTCCTGTTGCAAGGAGCTCGCGTCGACCCAGACGTTAAATTCACATCCGTAACGCACCATTTACCACGACGGGGTCGCCTTGACGCACCCTAGTAATGACTTCCCCTATCATGTGTCTAAGGGGAGCATCATTGGTTGTGTCATCCCAACCGGAAGTGACAGCAGTCACCCCACGTTTAATAAATGCAGTTGTAATGCGGATCCACCCGCCCACGGAAAATGTCCCACCAGCTTTCCACATAACGAAAAACACGCTGCCGGGTCATGTGTTGGGAATGTCCGGGAGCCGCCCACGCTTCCAGTAAAGCATGTTGTGCTCCCCAGACCTGCAAGCCGAGCACCCGAGCACCATCCTCCAGTCGTTCTGGGTTTTTACATTCGAGCCCGAAGTCAGCAAGATGCTTTCTCACCTGTGAAGCGGGTACTAAGGTTTCGTTGATGTAGATGTCGTCAATGTAGCCTGGCGTCGGCACTTAATTGCCTCATCCTGGGATAGCACAGCATCCACGATGGCTTTCATGATGGCGGTGCCACATTGAGTCCGAATCCCATTCGGGTTAAGCAGTACCTCGTCCCATTAAGAATCACCGTCTGAAATGGCCACAGTGACCGGTGCAGCGTGCCTGCAAGTAGGCCTTTGAAAGGTCAATCACAGAGACATTGGATCCCCGTTCGCCATTCTCTCAATTTTTGTGCACACACATCAGCATGAGCTGTGTATGTGTCTACATGTTCGTTCAGTTCTCTATAATCTAGTACAGGGCGCACCTTTCCCTTGTTCTTTTGTACCACGGCCATCAACAGGATGAGGCCTTTTGGAGGACCAAGCTCTTCCTCGGGATATGGAGTCAGCCATCCGTTATCCAGCCACACCTGCAATTCAGCGCTGGTATTCTTCCTTGACGCGTTCGGGCACCGAATATTCTGACACTCGGTTCTGGAGCTTTTCTGGTGGGTTATTTTCCGACCATTTCCAAAATGCTGTCCATGTCTTAGATCCTTTGGTCGAACTCTGCGCTAAAAAGTCGGGCTCGTTGATCTTCAAAGTAGCACAGATGGGCGGATCAGAAAACTTGACCGCCTGCCTCTGTAATGTGTACGCCCACCCAGCTCCTTAATAATGTCCATCCCAAGGAGCAGATCGAAACCTAATAACGCGCTGTCCACGACCAACACACTGACTGTGACAGGGTCACCGTTGTTAATACTAAGTTTGATGTTTCCAACTCCCGGCTTCTGAGAGCCTTTCCATCAGCCGTTAGTATGTCCATCTTTTGTCTGCTCCACTGTCGGCCGTCGAACCGTTGGTGAGTGACCGAGAGCAGCCCGAATCTATTAAAGCGGCACGCGTTATTCCATTGATGCGCACCTTAATCACAGGAGCGCCACTTTCATGCTCGGTGCGGGAAGAGACCGCGCTGACGTCGCGTCCCCATTCCATTTCGGGCACTTAGAGGCAATATGACCTACTTTCTGACATTGAAAGCATCGTAGATCGAGACGTGCCTTTCGCGCGCCCGACCGCTGCGCATTTCTTGGCGTTGATAGCGGCAGTCTCTGGCAAAATGATTCGCCCAGAGCACCGATAGCAGGTGGCAACACCATGGTGACGAATGGCTGGGGTCAGACCTTCTTTGACTTCAATTGGTTGAATAACCGCGCCACTGGTTCATCAGCCTCTTTTCGTCGATCATGACAGCACGGGCTCTGGTCAACAATTGATTGAGCGTCAGGTCTTCCATTCTGGATGATGCGCGAGTATCTGCTTAACATGACTGGGCAATCCAGAAACGAAGGCACATGTCATCCATTCTTCAGGAAGGTGCGATTGGGAACGGCGAGCTTCTTTAATTCTGCCAAATATCGTCTACTGTCTCGCCAGGTCGCAGACGCTGTGCCTGGAATTGGTCGTGAGGCCACGAACCGGTCAGTTCCAAACGCGGTTAGTAGAGCGTGCTTTATTTGCTCAATGTCGCTTTTCTGTTCTTTACTCAGCTGCCTATACACAGCAAGGGCACCGCCATTCAATCGCAGAGGAAGAATCCGATCAATCTTCGATATCTCGCATACACCGCAGACCAGTTCCACCTTTTCGATCCATTCAACCACAGACTGTCCACTAGTATCACCACTGAATTCGGGGATCAGTTTTATATCGAGCGGTCTTTCCGCCATCTTTACGAGAGACAAAGTAAATGCCGAAATAGCTTGAAGAGTAAGCGTTCTCAAAGCAAATTTGTGGCTTTCACAACACAAAGAAAGAAAATAACTTGTAACACGTCAGGAAAATAACTCACGAATGCCGTAGCCAAAACTGCCCGAATTTTCCTTCCCGAGTCGACAACACCAACTGCTTTTATCGGCAGAACCTATTTTTTTCCATTCGTCGACAGCCGGGATAGGATGTTCCGTAATTTGCATATTAATACACTCTTATAGCGACTCCTCGACGAACTTGTTTCTTTTTCGCTTGGGTTGACGAGGAAAGTCGCTATAAGAGTTTTGCTGACTACTTTTTTTGGCAATCCCTCCCGCAGATCGCACAAAACACAAACTTTTTTTCCGGGTACTTGATTATCTCGTTCACTACAAGTACCTAGTTCTGTTTTATCCTCAATGTTTATAAAAAGAACGTATAAACATAAAAAATGCCTTAAAAAATAATTGTGGGACTTTGTCCATTTCATAATGTATGACGTCATTTGTTTACATTTGGATACGCATTAAGCAGATATGAATGAATGAGAGAAAATATATATATATATATTGTTTTTGATTTTGTTGACTATACAGTATAGGAGGGTCAGTTGGCATTGTCTGTGAGAAAAAGAGCACCATGATGCAATTCACTCCACCAGAAATTTGGAAGCAGCATGCTGTACTGCTTGGTATTCATGCTGGAAGCTCCAATACAAACATTTCAGAGTGTTTGTGTGTCAATCTGACATCAATACAAAGGATTCTGAAAAAGTTGGATGAGTCCAATAGTAATTATGAAAATAATTGAAGTGATCACTAGTGATTATGACGTTATGCCTCCATTCATCTTCCCATAAGGTCTCAGACTGAACATCTAGGCCTACATCAAGTGCCTTGAGGGGGTAGTGATGCCCTGGGTCAAGAGGCTGGCTGCTGGAAAACTCTCTCTGGCAACAGGACTCTGCAACATGCCACACAAGCAGGAGAACCCAGTCATGGCTGTCAGACAATTTCTGTAACCACATCATTCCTTACATCTGGCCACCTAACTCCCCAAATTGCAACCCCTTTGATTATTATGTGTGGGGCGCAATTGAACAAAAGCCAACAATACTCCTAGTAACACCAAAGATTAACTAAGGCAAGAAATATAGCAGCATTCACCAACTTAAACAAAGATACTGTCCGGAAGAATTGCAGGAGATTCAGTTGTCTGGAGATCATGGTTGAAGCCAATGGCAATTTTATTGAATAAGTTTACTCTTTAGTATTTCGAGTTATTTTTATGTAATTTTGCTAAATATATCTGTTATAATGAAATGTCAGTGTCATTTTCATTTTTGCGTAATTTAGACGCACACTGTATAATGTGTGTGGATATACATTGCATTTTATATATGTGGATGTAATGGGTAACATAAAATAAAATTACTTCAGTTTACTAATAGGAATAAACAAAACACTTGAGAAATTTCATCCATTTTGACATCAATTTAATAATCTTTCATAAGGCATTTGAGAAAATTTCTCATTCTTTCCTTGTTTGGTCTTCATCTGTTCATATCAATGAAAATAGGCTCTTATTTGTAAAACAACCTTCAGAATATTTTTTCAAATAATAACAAAAAGAGTGTAATTTTAAATTATTGCAATATATCCTTTAAAGTCATGTATGTCCTTCAATGTTGAATTGTGTGAATACACTTTATATATATATATATATGTGTGTGTGTGACTTTACAGCAATTAAGCCAGTTTTGGTATGATGACAGGACTGCAGAATATCTCGCCAAAGAAGCATTTGCAGCCTGTGGAAAAAATGGCAAGTATGTATATTTTATTTAATTACTAATATGAACATGTTCTGTAACACAATGAAATTAGCATGAACATTTTTCTGGTCCATAGTGCATTTTTTTATTGTGTATACAAAGTAATTCAGAAGTTTTAATGATATAAAATGTGATCTGTTTATCATTTTGAATAATGACATCGACATTTGTAAATTTACATGCATGTAATGAAATAAAACTATGAATAATAAAGATAATCTTCCTTATACCTTGGCATTCTTTTCTGCACAATTCTGTTATAATCTCTTGAATTAAAGAAAAACATCAAGTCTACTGCTAAATACAGATTGTAATAAATTTATTTAATCCTTGCAAAAGATTTGGCCTTGAGCTTTCTTGTCAGTGAATGACAAAGATCATTTTTCTCCATCCTTATTTAATAACTTTAATAGATTTGTAATCAATAAAATCACCTTTAATTAATAAAAGTCACCAATTTTATTTTTGTATGGAGCATTGAATGAAGTTGTAGGTTTTGGTTTAATATAGATTCGTTTTTTGTTGTTGCATGTTTTAATAATTCTTGTGCAGACAAATTTGTATAAAATATTTACCAAAACTGAAAGCCCATATGTCTCTCTTGATTATCTCATCTTCCATTCAAAATAAAAAAAATGCCCCCTGAATCAGTGATAATGTATTTTTTAATAAAGCAAACTAATATATATATATATATATATATATATATATATATATATATTGTGTGTTTTTAGACAGCATTTTTTCATTCATACATGTTTCATTAAATAATATAGATGAATGTTGTCTATTTATTTTACGTAAATTCTTTTCATAACATTTGATAAGCTTAATAACATTATCATTAAACAAAGAAAGAAAATCACAATATTGATCCATATTTTTTAATCCAATCTAAGTTTTCAGCTTACATAAGCCATTATCAAAGATGACAATTACTGTACAATATATTAAGCAATACACGGACAGGGATGTGATGATAGTTTGTCTCCGTTTACATGGATGATTTCCTAGCAACGACAAACATGTGCATATAGGACGCTAGAAGCAAAAATCACACTGCAGCTCATGACGTCACACATAACCACGCAAGAGTAAATTCGAGAAGTATTAAGTATGGGAAGCCGTTGGTATAAACCAATGGCTTCTGTTACCAATTATAGACATTTAAGGATATTTGTAGAGATTCCATAGTTGATTTTGTTTAGGTTAGGTTTCAATTGTTTGATGTATATTGCTTCAAGGATTTTTAGTTTTTGTCTTCCCGTTTATTTTAGCCTGTTTTTAATCTTTTTGTCAACAGGTAAAATTTTGAATTACTGAAATATTCAATTTCTAGCATATTCAGTATATTTTTTGTGTTCATGTGTAAAAAAAAAAGTTTTTCTTCAAGGTCTCCTGTATTTGTAAATATTCATCGTCTTGTTTTTAAGTTTATCCATGGGAGATAAAGGGTAGTAGTGCTGGTTAAATTTTGATATATCTGCAGGCAGTAGAATTAAAAACAATAGCTCATTAGTATTGTTGATTGTTGATATCAGAATGACTGCAACTGAGCTGAAGAATGGGTTAAGTAGCAGCAGTCATAGAGGAAGGAAGAAGATGGTGAAAAATTCAGGCATGACTGACTGAAACCAAGAAAGGATCTCAGTCACAGTTTCTGGCTAGCAGTATTTTTTTTTTCCATGTATTGAATTTGTTGAACATTCATTGATTTCTGGTTCCATTTTGTAATTTTATTTTGTAGCTTGCAGTTTGCATGTTCACATCAACTATTTTGTAACTAATTTGTTGTAATCACTACTACTAGCTCAACTAAAAGCAGTAACAACCAAAATTTCCATGAGTTGTCATCAGTTGTGGAGGATAAAAGAGAAAAAGAATAAATTTCAACAAATACACTCAACATCCTCTCCCACTCACGTTTGTAAAACATAAATATAATTTCTGTAATTGTTTTTCAGAATTTGCTGTCTCAGTTCCCCAACTGCTTTCCGTAAGATGAAAAAACTTAAACCTTCAGGAAGTGTTTTAAAACTTCTGGAATTTGACAGGCGGTTTGAATCATTTGGAGAAGACTTTTTGTTTTATGACTACAATGATCCTTTAAATTTACCAGCTGAATGGGAACATTATTTTGATGTGGTTGTTGCAGATCCTCCATTTTTGTCAGAAGAATGTCTCACCAAAACATCTCAATCAATAAAGTACCTTACTAAAAACAAAATCATTTTATGTGTAGGTAAGTGCTTGTTTAAAATAAATTAGTTTATCATTTTTTCTGAGGAGAATAGTATGCAAGTTTATTTTAAAAGATAAAAAATAATGAATTGTTACATACCTCATATAGTTCAAGGTTAAAGATTTATTACTATAGTTCAAGAGTTGTTTGGACAATTGAATACTTTGCTTATTTTTCTCCTCTAAAATTTTGGCTAATCACTTCTTTAGTTGTACTCTATCCACATATAGAAAAAAGGTTTCGTTTTCTGGTAGATTAACGCAGAAAACAGCAGCAAACAAAAGTCAAACTGTTTGCAGCAGAACTTGTAATATTCCAGTAATGTATATTGAATAAGATTTTCAGATTCTTTCTTTGTTTTGCAGAATAGCCAGTGTTTAATAATGAACACATTGAAATCCATAATCATCTGCCTCATTGAGCTGACAAGTGTAGTAATTCTGTTAGTTTTCTCACTCTCAAACTGCAAGGTCAATATATTATTTGGACTTCATCATCAAGAGAATAATTTATGCCCTTCTTTCTCCAGATATGATCCACTTACTTGTGGATGTAGCCTTTCTATTCAGTTTTATTTTAAGGGATGTTGTAAATACAATCTTTTGTTAAGCACTTCTCTCTTATGGAACTGACTCTAGCAAGGACATTACATGTGCTACTGAAAATCACCCTGTAGATTTGTTCATTTGCACATCTTAGCTATCTTTCACAGCTCTCTGTAGGTACAGAGTTGTTGTCTTTGGGATAGAGCTTTATATTGTCCATCAACATTATTATACTAAAGTATGCTCCCTGTCCGTTAAATTTTCTTTGTTTCACAAGATCCCTGCCGATGACTTTTGTTTATTGCTGAAACTAATTCTTGACATGGAAGAGGTTTTGAAACAAAAAATTGCCTTTGGTATACAGCATTGCTTTATCCATTTGTTGCATAGCCACTTCATGCTCCTGGTCAATGGCACCAATTCAATAAAATGCTGCATTTTCTCTCTCAGGAGCCCTGTTGGCGGAGCTTCAGAATACATCAACTGCACCTCTGCAGAGGGTAAAAGTTGCTCAATGGGGCCACCAGTTGGCCGTGGGTGGTGACCCATGTCATTTGGGGATGGGAACCTGGTGATTGAGCAGGCCATGGCCCAGGTGCAAAGAGGTCATGGTCATGCAACGCATCACATTGGCCCTTACCTGGGCTAGACGGGCGGTCGGAGAGGCCCAATCCAATCAATCGGCTAGTCACGTCAAGCAGTAATACTTACTCGCATAAAAACCCATCTATCTAAAACCCATAAGATGTTACACAAAACCTGTCCAACACTTTATTACAAAGAAGAGATAGATCATAAGTAAGTATTAGAAGGCGGTGGCAAGGGTCAATCTACTAGTAAGGAAAAGCCGTTACAGATAAGGATTTTAACTGACGTTTTCATTAAAACGGGTCCAGGAAAACAAAGTGAAACCTGAAATGCTAACAGCCACTTACTAGTGCAAGTATACCTTCCTTGTATTCCTGGGATAATAGAGCGAATGGGTGTCTCCCTCCCCCCATCTCCCACTGATGGGCTCCGAGGAGGGTGGGGAGCAAGGAAGGTGAATTTTTAAAAAAAATAAAACACATGGCAACAAATAAAAACAAAAGACCCCATATTGAAGACAGTCCGGAGAGCCTATACTCCGAAACCGAGTCAGACAACGAACTTGATCAAAAGCTGTCCCCTATATTTATTGTCTTAGAGTCAATAGAGAACACCCCAATCACTAAGTTGTCTCCATTCATTGTTGAAAAAACAATGAAATCTTTAATAAAAACCTTATCAATAAAAAAAATAAGGAACAACACCATTTTAGTGGAAGTTCCAAATAAAAATTCAGCAAATATGTTACTGAAGCAAAACTTTTTTTCTAAGCTTAAGATAAAAGCCTACCCCCACACTTCCTTGAACTCCTCAAAGGGCGTGGTAAGAAGCCCAGATTTCTCACTCTGCACACTGAATGAGATAAACAACCTAAGGCAACAAGGCATCACAGATGTTTAAAAAATATTGATAAAAAAAAACAACCAAATGACTCCAACAAACACTTATATTCTAAATTTCAACACTCCAAAACCTTCTACAAAAATAAAAATCGGATATATGATAGAAAAAGTGGAAGTATACATAACAAATCCTCTGAGATGCCACAACTGCCAAAAGTTTGGGCACCACAAGGAAAGATGTACCAGATCCCCAACATGTAAAGATTGTAGAGAAATCGGGGAACACATTGACTGCAAACTCCCATTAAAATGTGCAAACTGCAAACAAAATCATGCAGCAGACTCAAAAGAATGTGAAATCTGGAATAAAGAAAAAAATGTCCTCAAAAAACATATCATACCCAGAAGCAAGAAGGATAGTTGAGAGTTCTCAGAATGCATCAACATATGCAAATATATCCAGTATGACAAACAACTCAATTCAAAAACAAGAAACAACACAAAACAATCTGTCTGATCTGGTAGAACTAAGATCACTACTGGAGATACTAAAGAAAAATTTAATCAGTTCAACAACTAGATCCGATATTGAATCGGATCTAAAAGAAAACCCCCAATACCAGATCAACAAAACCAAAGATGTCACAAACCAAAGAAAATTACAATCCAAACAACAGCAAACGCCAAACCTCCCCATCACCAGTAACAAATTAAATAACTCCTCACCTCCAAAAATGAAATCTCCTTTGAAGAATCAACACAACAAAAAGAAAACAGAAATTGTCTTAATTGAAAATGAAAACAAATTCAAACTGATGGAAACTGATAGTCAAGAAGGACATTCAAGATAGAGAAGTTCAAAAAGTCCCAACAAAAACAAATCAAAAACAATCATCCCATCTCAAACAAGGGAACGGTCTTCATCTAAACAAAAATCATCAAATGAATCAATGGAGAAAAAACCAAAAGGAACATCCCTCAATAAACAGAACAGAACCAAAAGAAATCCAAGGGTGAAAACATAACAAAAAACAAAATGCAAATAAGGAGAATCTTCGTCTTAGATGTCCATCTTTTCTATGCTTTCTGTCTTATTTGAGTTACTATTAATATTTTATGAATAATGAATCTATAAATATGTATAAATATAGAAGGGATCTAAACACATTTGTCTTTTACAGTTTCATATTACCTTTGGCAGGTTGTAGTACTTGTCAGATTCTTTTTTGCGTTGATTATCAAATTTAACAGCTTAACAAACATATCACCACAAAAACTATTTTTCACAACCAACTATATATATTTCCTACAGTTCTATGACTGGACCATGTTTTTTGAAATTTTTCTTGTATTCAAGTCACGGTTATGCCATTATTTTACTACTATTTTTTTTTATCATTTCACCCCAAGCAAGTCAGTAAAACCACTAAATCACAAGGAGTTACTGAGTGAAAAAATGAGAAAAAGAAAAAAATAATATTAAGGAGTGAGAACAATAAAAGAAGAGGAATCAAGAAGACAGTAGATAATGATTGACATTGAATTTAATTTTTTGAATATCAAAGTTGGCTGGAAAGCATGAAGCTGGAAGAGAGTTCCACAAGCAAAAAAGTGTGATAGAAGAAACTGTAAGCATAGAATTTATGGTTGTATCTAACCAATTATGGGGAAGGATCAATAAGTATATCACCTGATATAGTTATTAGCTAAATTTTAATCTGAAATTTTCAGTGTACAATGTTTGATTTACATGATTAATATTCACCACTAAATTAAGTGCATTGACAAACGGGGAGAATGTTGAAAAATATTTGTATAAAATAAATGCTTTCTATTGATGTAATCTGTACTCAAGCAAATTCATCTGTTGATTAAATGCCTTACTCTTAGAAATTAGTTTATACTTTCAGTTTTAAAAATATTTCTGACACAAGGATATAAGGATCACATGTTTGCAAATTTTAATGATTAAGCATTTAATTTCATTAATTTTAAAGCGGCAATTGTAAATAATTTTTATTTGTTTTCTTTTCTTTTAAGGTGCTCTCATGGAAGAATGTGCTAAGAAGTTGCTACAGGTGACACCAACCAATTTTGAAGTGAAACATGAAAACAACTTAAGGAACAGATTAATGTGTTATACAAATTATAAACCTCATATCTTAGAAAGTTTGGATCCAAACTCTGAAATTCAAGAAAGTTAAGATTCAGTTTCAAAATTTGGACAAATGAATTAAAAGCAAAAATATTCATAAAATCAAGTTGAATGCAATCTACTAACCTTTCTAAAAATGTCTTTCAAATGAATAAAAAAAAAAAAGCAATTTTGTTTTTCTTTTTTTGTCCTTTAATTGACAGCTCACAACTGTAACAGATGAAAATGCATTTGGTTACAATCTTTGTTTAGGCTTGCAGCTACATTATTTATCTTAATAAAGAAGATAAACAAAAGTTATTTTCATTCATTAGATTCTTCTTTTTTTTCTTTTTTTTTTTCCTTATTCAACTGTGTCACTTTAGATTAGGTTTTATTCAGATGCCCAAAAGAAGACAAGCTAACAAAAATAATACGTTTTGAGTTAGAAAATATTTTTTATCAAAAGTTATTATTGACTCAATAAGGGAAGACAATAACAATCCCAACTTGGCAATTTTTTTTTTCCACACTGACTTTTCAACCCTAACTCATTATTTATTAAATTGAAAGCTGCTCTATTGAGTGGCATTTAAACTAGCTCCTGCAAAGGGTTCTTGATTGGGCCTTTGGCTTGTTCAGGAATTTGAGAGTCCCTAAGTCTTTGCATATTTTCAGCATTAGAAGCTCACCTGGCTGCTGTTTGATCTGGGTTTTCATTTACATGGGACTTTCTTTTCCTGGCTGTGGGTGAAAATTTCTTCTTGTGAGGCCATACTGCCATATGCAATAGGTAACAATACACTACAGAACTCAAAATTGATCGCCGCATTTAAGTATTGCATTAATATTTAAGCTTACCTTTTAAAAGTTCAATAATTCTTCTGCCGCCATTTAAAGACAATTTAAAGTGTGTAGTTTCTTGCTTTCCATTCAAACAATTATTCTTATGAGATGAATAACTTTCGGTGGATTTCGCAATTTTGATTTTTTCTAAATTTATTTCCGAGTTATAAAAATTATTATCATGCATAAAAAATTTATTGCAAAAAGTCGTAAAAAAATCACCAAAAATAATCACTGGAATGAAAACTTGGGAATTCAAAATTTTTGTAACCTGAGCTATTGAAAATTAGAGTTGTGTCGCTTTAATTGAAAAAGTGTGACACACTGACATTCACATTTATTATATAGATGGTCTGTGTTATTTTGGTCATGTAAAATTTCTGTCTCCAGAGCTTTTATTATAGCTTATTAACATTTTTCATTACAAGTATGTTCTGTTGTTCATAAGATTTGAGTATATTTGAATATTTGGCACTTATCAAAATGAAGATGAAATATCAAACTTTTGGGATCTCTTACATTTGGTAGACAATGAACAGTAATATAAACAATGTATAAGAACTTACCAAATACCAAGTGTATTTACCTTGAATTTTCCACCAAATATGAAACCATATAGTTGTTATTTTTTTTTAAATCATTTCACCCCATGCAAGGCAATATAGCCACTAAGACACAAATGGTTACTGTATGTGAAAAAATATGAAAAAAAGAGAAACATTAATAAGGAGCAAGTTCAATAGAAGGGTAATCAAGAATAGTAGATAATGATTAACGTTACATTTAAATTTTTGAAGATCAAAGTTGCTGGAAAGCATGGAGCCAAAAGAGAGTTCCACAAGTGAGAAGTGTGAGAAAAGAAACTGTTAGCATAGAACTTATAGTTACATCTATTCAATTCAACTGTGAATTGATGAGATCTTACCACTAATTTAGTATTGCACTTAAATTCATAAAGTCTAGTTACCATAGTGAAGAGTTCATCAGAACATTTACTATGAAAGTACTTATAGTAAAGGCACAGGAATGCTACGTTATGGTGGTGAGAAAGTGAAACCGAGATGCCATATTGCTGATTCTTTGGATTTTATCAAGAATATCTAAATATATAGCAGGAGCACTGGACCATATGTGGCAGTAATATTCAAAGCATGGACAAATGGTAGACTTATATAAGATAGATTCTGGCGAGAAAAATTGTATAGTATGACACAGTGAACCAACTTAGTAGCAGACCTAGTAATGGATTCAATATAATCTTTCTACTTCAAAGTGCATAGCTATTGTATCTCTTGTGTTGTTTCTGGTCCCTACATATATGCCTGTGGTTCTAGTATGGGCTTACATAGAGTTCTGGTTAGTATCAGTGTTTGTTTAACAATATAACATCTCTCTTACTCTGAAAGAAAAAAAAATTGTTTTATTGAAATCACACAGGTGGTAAAATATGACTTCTCCATCTTGTAGGTCTCACTCTCAAGATGTTCTGCAGATACAACTTATGATTTTTATTGTGTGCCCTGTGGTGGTTGGTTGGCTGTCATTATTAGCTGACCAGATCTTATGTTCTCTTTTGTCATAACTTCTTTGTTTGTTAGTGTTGGTTCATCCACATATACAGGCATGAGAATGGTTCTTTTTCTTGTTTGTTGAACAAATGTGGATTCAGTTTTTGCCTCATGATAATGTAGGATCTGGGTGTCATGGTTTTGTCAATAATTTTTGCTAGCCTCCAAGTTTTCATTTCCAGGTCCTGTGTGACATTGGTGCATTTTCTGAAAGATTTCTGGTTGTAATGTTTTGGATATTAACAGGTGTGATCCTCCTAGCAAAACATCATTCCCTAGTGAATTTGTCATATTGCAAGTTGTATCTGGTGTCATTTTCTGTTGTGAGAGTATCTGTAGCTTTTGGTCTTTACTAGTCTGGTCTCTAATCTGTTCTAGTTTGTTGCTGGTCTGTATGTGATGTATTTTGATACCCATATCTTTCATTGCAAATTTGTCATTTGCAGACAAGCGTGACAGGGTATCAGCTAGCATCATGTCTCTATGAGTGAAGTTATACCCTTGTAACTGAAGGAGTAAACGTACTCTGGTAGGTGCTTTATGTAGATTCTTTTTATGGATTTGTTCTAATGGTTGGTGGTCATTTCCTACTGTAACAAATCTTTCTCTTGATGTTAGCAGACCTAATTTCACCTGGTGTTAGGGCTTTTGATGCAGATGCTGTTGTTTTTCCTTGTATCAATGCTGCTCAAAAACCTATGGTAGATTGCATCTACCTGTAGAACTACTGGCTTGTTTCTATCATAGTAACAGAACTCTATTTCTCTGCATATTATATCTTTTAGTTCATTAAAGTATTTCTGATGGACTGCCATCCATTTGAATTCTACATTTTAGAGAAGAAAGATGTAGAATTCAAATGGATGCATCATCGTCTGATATCTTAGAAATGAATGAGCTTGTGTATTGGATCATGCCAAGGAAAGTACACAGTTCTTTCTTGTCTTGGTGATTTCATTTTCGTTATGTCTGTGACTTTTTTGGGTTAGGCTTTATTCAAGTGAACATGTATGTCATTCCAAAGAACTGATATTCTTCCACTTAGGTAACACATTTTTCAGCATTCAGTTTGATATTTTTTTTTAAGCGTTTCACCCCAAGCAAGGCGGGAAGCCACTAGCATGCAAGGGGTTACAGAGAGTTGGAGCTAGAGCAAATAGGAGTGATAGAGGAAAGGATGAAGATAATGATAAAGGATAGATCAGGGCATCTGGAGATGTTAATTGACATTACATTTGAATAGTTGGAGATTATAGCTATCAGGGAAACAAGAAGAGGGGAGGGAGTTCCACGGGCGAGAGTTTGTGAGACATGAAGCTATTGGAGTAGAAAAGACGGCTACATTTAACAGTTTCGACAGTGAAAGGATGCAAGCAAGATGCCAGCCTTGTAGAATGCTTAAATTCATAAAATTGGGAACCAGCGAAATCAGCTCCTCGGAACAGTTACCAGGAAATATTTGTAAAAAAGACAGAGGGAGGTGACGGCACATCTGTGAGAGAGCGACTGCAGACGAGATGCCAGATCAGGGCAAATTACATTGCATATCCGTTTCTGGATCTTATCAAGAACCTTGAGACAAACAGAAGGTGCACCAGGCCATATATGGCAGCAATACTCCATGCAAAGGTGAATGGTTGATTTGTAGATTTGAAGGATTGACTCCGGCAAGAAAAATTTCCTGGCACAGTACAGGGAACTGACTTTCCTTGTGGTGGATGAAGCTATTGACTCAATGTATTTGTTCCATCTCAAGTCAGCAGTCTGCTTTGTGATATCTGTTTTTCTTGTATTTTCCATTGACTAATAAAGGTGAAGGTCATGGTCTCTTTTGTCTTTGCCATGGATTTGTATGTCATCTGCAATTCCTATGGCACCTCTATATTTTCTATAGGTTTCATCTATCTTTTGTTGGAAGATATATTGACTGACTTTGAGGCCAAAAGGCAATAGCAGGAATTTGTATCAGTTGAATGGAGTGTTAAATATAGTGAAGACAGTAGATTCCTTATCAAGCTTAAAATTCCAATATTCATTCTTAGCATCAAGCTAGCTAAAAATTTTAGATCCTGCTAGCTTTGGAGTGCTGTCCTCTAGGGTTGGTGTTGGGTAGTACCCCCTTTTTATGGCTTGGTTTAAGTCCTTTGGGTCCAGGTAAATCCTTAGCTCTCTGTTGGGTGGTTTTTCTATAACAATAGAATTTACCCAGCCTCTGCAGATCCACTCAATTTTTCAATTTTCTTTTCCTCCATCTTTTTAAAGTTCTCTTTTCAGCTTTTCCTTTAGTCCTATTGGTATTTTTCTTGAGGCATAGATTAGGGGCTTGACTGTTGGGTCTGTGACTATATGATACTCAAAGTCTTCAAAACTTTCAACTATGTCAATAAAGCATTCTGGATAAATTTCTATCAGTTGTGCTTTGTTATCGATATGGGGCCATTGTTCAAGTGGTGTGTTTGCTGTTTATTCACTTAGATTTGTTTATATCACTGATATCAGCTTTAGTTTCTCACAGCTGTTCAACCTAAGAATTGCAGATCCCTCTGTGTCAATTATATAGAATGTGCATCTGATGTGCATTCCTTTATGTGACTTGAGTATTTTAGTATTCCTAAGCTTTTTAATTTCTGTTCTAGATATGCTATTAATTTGGTATTTGTAGCTTTTATTGTACCTTCTTTACAGTAGTTGTTTTCAATGTTTTCTGGGAATATCTGTTGGTATATCCTTGGTAGGAATATATCAGCTTGTGCTCCAGTGTCCAGTTTAAACTTTAGGTTGATGGTTGGCTATCCAATTGTTTCCTTATCTATATTGTGGCATGTAACTCCCTCCTATCTATAGTTTTATCCTTTGACCTTTGATGTAATTGTGTTTCCTTTATGACTTGTCTGTTATTGTTGCCACTTTCATCATCAAACCCTGTTTATAATGTTTTTTCTTTGGTTTATATGATTGTCTTTTGTTCCTGCAAATTTTCTCTCAATGATTCTCTTTATAACAAATTCTACATGGTGATCCAAACACTGGTCATTTCTTTCAATCATTGAATTCATGTATTCTACTGCAGCATTTACATGGATTTGATTTATAGTATTGTGTTTTTGATTTTTTGTGTTTTGTTATGACATCAATTCTGTCATCTTTCTGTTGTGTACCAGTTGTTTGTATACTCAGTGATTCATTTGTATCCTAGTAGTTTCAAATGTTCTTGAGATATTTATTGCTTCAGTCAGTTTAAGTTGTTGTGCACCCCCTGGAGGAGGAAGAGCAATGTGAAATGGCCCAAGTGCCCCGAATCCATATGAGGACACAAGAGGCCCACTAACATTTTTAAATTAAAGACGTGATATCTGACAGGTGAAATAAAATGCACAATAGAATGAGGATATGTAAGATTAATGCAAAGTTTATTTACAAAGCAGACCTGATGGGCTGTAGGATAGATAGTCTAGTAATTGAAAGGTGGTCAGATTATTACAAAAAAAAATGAAGCAAAACATAATTTTTATAAACTGTGTGTAATCAAATATCATTTAACATTAGTGTCCTGCTTATTATGGAATAGTAGAAAAACAAGAAAAGCTAACTTTAAATGTTAAATGTAGTTGGATTTTGCTTTAGGGTAAAATACAATATTGTAATTTTAAACTGGACTTGCCTTATTCTTCAAGTTAATGCAATGCTATTAAAATGTTCTAACAAACATCTTGTTACAATGTGCTCTTGCTGTACCATGGTAACAAGCTCACAAAGAGAAATCAAATTATTGTTGTATACACCCTCTCTTTTGGGGAGGACTTTTGGTTGACGGGGTCGACTCCATAATGAAGCTGCATTCTTCTCTTTCGGTTGTCTTCTCCCAGTCAGGTGATCACTAATTGGTTTGTTCACAGGTAAAATGAGAACTTCAACAAGAGGAATTTTGAACTTATCTATTTTATTAAACACATCAATGTGTACATTTTTTTAACTAGCCAGTGGGTTTGCTCTGTCAACCCCACTTTCTGTGGTATACCAGTTGCCATCCAAGGCTACAAAACCCAGTCTGTCCTGCTATTTACCCATAGCTGGGGGGAGAAGAAGATTCATACCTTTCCCAAGGGTATTAGCATATAAGTGAATGTAATGGATTCAACTACAGAAATAAAATTAATATCAAAAATAAAAAATCTACAATTTATTTTGCTTAATAAACTGAACCAACCTTTCAGTCAACTTAATAATGTCTTACGTTTTTTAATCTATTTTTTATATAATTTCCTGATTATGTGTCACAGTCTTTCTTTTTTTTCTTATAGGCACGACATTTTTTATTAAGTAAAATATAATTTGATATTAAAAGAAGTTAATATTGTGGAAAGATGAATTAGAAACAATATTTTAAAATCTCAATTACTCTCATAATAATGTGAAAATGTTGATTACAGTAAAGATTATCAAGTAAATTGACACTGTAGAGCTCTAGCTGAGGGTAGCACATTTTTCTTAATCATTTCACCCCAAGCAAGGCGATAATGCCACTAGGATGCAGGAGGTTACAGGAAGTGAAAGAGAATGAGAATATTTTAGTGAGGAAAGGACAATAAAGGAACAGGGTTCAAGAAAATAGAAGATGGTGATTATTGTTGCATTTAAAATTTTGAAAATTGTAGGTGGCAGGAAAGCAACAAATCAGAAAGGAGGTCTACAGGTGAGAAGTGCAAGAAAAGAAACTTAGAATAGAAGTGGCAGTTATATCTAGCTAGTTCAGCAGTAAAATGGTGGGACCTAGTTGCTAATCAAGTAGCACACTTAAATTCATGTAGCCAAACCTCTAGGAAAAAAAGTTCATTAGAATAGTTGCCATGAAAATATTTGTAGAAAAGACAGAGGGAAGCAATATCATATTGGTGAGAAAGTCACTGAAGTTGAGATGTCAGATCAAAATTGATTATATTATAGATCCTTCTTTGAATTTTATCAAGAATCTTGAAATATAAAGCAGGAGCATCAGACCAGATCTGGCAGCAATATTCGATGCATGGATGGATGGTAGATATATAAATGTACAAGATGGATTCTGACGAGAAAAATTTTCCCTGCATGACAAAATGAACCAACTTTCCTTGCAGTAAATGTAACAATTGATTGAATATAGTCACCCCACTTCATGTAAGTGTAAGATGGCGTGATGGCAGGCAGAAAAAGTTCTCTGTGGTAAATGAAGAGGTCCTTTTTGAGAGAAATTGCCAGCTTTACTTTGTCAGGTCTGTCAGACTTGCTACTAAGATAGGAGGAGGAAATAATTGTGTAATCTACATAAATACCTAGTTGTGAACTGATGACATTGGGGAGGCCATTCATGAAAAGCAGAAACAGTGTAAGTACAAGGACAAAGCCTTAGTTGACCCCTGTGTTAGTATGAAATGAGCTGGAAGTGTGCCCATTCAACACTACCTTCATTACACACTTTGTTAGGAACAATTGGATTATGCCAAATATTCATCCCTTGTAACCCTTGATCTTGTGGAAAAGGCCAGCATGCCAAACACTGTTGAATGCCTTTGAGATATCTTGAGCCAGAGCCTGAGCTTGATAGACATATTCTGTGAAGACCATTGATACATTGCTGGTAGACCTGGCAAAATGGAAGCCATATTGTTTGTCTAAAAGGAGATCATATGAAGTAAGGTGTTTAACCAATTCAGCATTGATTAGAGCCTCGATTTCTTTGTCAAAAAGAGGTAAGAGGCTAATAGTGCAATGATTTTAGAGGCCAGAGGATTTGCCAGAATTCTTAAAAACAGGAACTACAGAGGAGGACATTCAACAAGCTGGAAAGCAAGAAATGGTGAGGTGTTTGTTGTAAAGTTTGGAGAGAACAGGAGCCAGCTGAGAAGGATAATTGCAGGGATCTTGTCAAATCCGTATGCCTTGTGAGGACCTAATTTACACTTGATAATAGAAACCAACAACAGAGTTATGTGCATATCACTCAGTAAAGTCTCCATTCTAGGGGGAAAATCTGGCAGAAATACTCAGATGTGTTGAGAGTGGAGTTGGAAGAGAGCTTCTGAGTATAGCACTTTGTTTTATCAGCAGTAGATAACAACATTACAAATTGATTGACGAGAGGAGGGATTGAGGATTTTCTATTGTTCAGGACACTCTTGCAGAGCCACCAGTGTGTTAATTTCATGATTGTTGTAGCATACCTACAGATGATAATGGGTATGCTCCCATTCCCATAAATACAGTAATGAATACTGTATGTATGGGTTTGCAGTCTGCATTTGGAGATTCATTGTGGAATTCACTTGACTCACTTCTAGCAGTTGACTACTTCTACGTGCTGCTAGTGAATCTTATGTGTTGTACTTGTCCTAAGTATTATCATTTATTACCAACTTTTGTGTGATTATTCTATTCAGTAGCCTTCCCTAGATTACAACAATGGTAAACAAAGCCATTAGAGATAACTTCTAAGAAAAATAGTTCATTTTTTGTAAATAAAATATATGATACATTTGTACTTTTTTTGTTCCTAGATTGTATAAATGCATTACCTGGAAAAATCACCTGGAAAAATGTATAGTTGATGCTTATATAAAGTTTACTAAATTGAAGAAATTTGTATTTGAGTAACCTTGGGCCCAATTTTCAATAAGGATTGAGTAGCAAAAGATATTTTCAGTTTATAGCTTTCAAGTGAATTTTTCCTAAATAATTATTCACTTTTTGGTACAACACCAGAAAATAAAAATCAGTGAGCTAAATCAGATGTCAAAAGATGTTGTAGGGAAAACAAAGTTATGATATATTTGAAAAGATTCCTGATTTTATATTTTTTATTTGATCCTGCCAGTCTCATGAAATGAACATTTTAGATCAATTGTTCGACTGTAAATACTTTTTTGTCTTGATCTTAAATACACATTTGTTGATTTTTTTTTTCTATTTGATTGTACTTATTTTCTGGAATGAGACCTATAGACTTTTTCTGCATAATCATTAGTAAATAAATAAGTACTTGGGCAACTAATTTGGGCACTTCATCATGGTGTAATGGTTAGTAAGCTTGTCTCACTAGATCAATTATGACTGAGTAGCAGTGAATTTGATCCTCACTGGGTGCTCCACACTTTCGACCTTGTTCCACATCTAAGCTACACTTAGAAAATCATTTGGGCACTTTGGTGTGATGTAATGGTTACCAAGCTTGTCTCACTAGATCAATTACAATTGAATAGTGAGTTTGATTCTCATTGGGTACCCCACACTTTCCTCCTTGTGCCACATCTAAGCTTCATTTAGAAAACCATCATTAAGTACTAACTACACTGACAAATGTTAAGTAGTGTTCTAATCAATAGTTACTCACTAGGTGCTCAATACTTTCGGCCTTATGCCACATCTAAGCTACATTTAAAAAATCATTTGAAAACTTTGGTGTGGTATAATAGTTAGCAAGCTTGTTTCAATAGATCAATTACGACTGAATAGTGAGTTCGATCCTCATTGGGTATACCATACTATCGGCCTTGTACCACATCTAAGCTACGCTAAGAAAACCATCATTATTAAGTTAAGTACTAACTACATTGACAAACGTTCAGTAGTATTCTAATCAATAGTTACTTCCCCTTTGCTGTCTGCAGCAGTTTTTCTTCGTTCTTTTTTTTCCTGACAATGTCTTCGCGCATTTGTACGACCCTTCATGACCTGTGAGAAAGACGGGTTGCAGTTGATTTACACAATCCCAACTTCACAAGTCTTGCTGCCTGCACTGCCGCGATATTCGTTTCAATTTTTAGCTCCATTCTCTTTTCATTTGCCCACTGAAGAAACAAGATGCGGAAGCTATGTACCTCGTGTTGTAGACTGACTCGCCTTCTGAGACTGACACGATGCATTTCTTATTTTTCATCCACCGCATTCAATCTCATCAATGTTAATTATCAGAACAAAAACAATTGTTCCTATTTTTCGTCAAGTTTTTCGTCGTCGTCGTCATCGTCATTGTGCAATTATAACTTTAATTCTTCTTTGACTCACCGGAGCAGCAATGTTAGTAGTAGGAATTTCCATACGTCTCATTTACATTTAAGAAATGACCTTAAGTCTATCTACAAACAACGAAAAGAACAACTAAAAGGTAAAACAGAAGAAAAAGTAAAAATAGTTACTTGTTAGCTTTTGTTTGGCAATGTTTGATGTTTACATATTGTACGTACATTTTTTCACATTTTCTTTTTAGTTTTTCCCAAGAGCATGGCTTTTTCAATTGTTGCCTTGTTTACCTTTCTAAAAATGTAACAACACTTCTTTCACTAAACAATAACTTTTGATTGCACAAACATAAAAATCTCCAAAGTCACTTTTCTAATTTATTGCATTCATTAAATTGATAATTTGTGAATATTATAAGAAAGATGTAATTGAATTTAAAAGTAGTAATGAATTAAAAAAAAATCTTTTTAAACTGTCACAAATGAATAAAAGATAATTTTAATTTCTAAACCATTTTTACTACTGATAATAACATATTCTATTCTAGGTTTGTTATTCTGATTCAAAACCCAAATATTTACCGTTTTCATTTCTTTTTCTTTAACAAGCCTAAAAGTAAAAAAGGTCTCTTTCAAAATTTTTAGTAACTTAAACACAAACTGTTGCAAAACAGGTGACTTTCACTTTTAGTTTTGTTTTTTTTTGTCATAAAACTAAAAAGTAAACTAAAAAAATGTAAATGTTTTATTTTCTTAAAATTTTGTTTTCTTTATTTTTTTAACCTTGAAATTTTTGTCCTTAATCGTTCTTTAATATTAATAAAAATAATCTTTTCTTTTTTTTATATAAATGTTAATTAATCACTAATCAGTAATTTGTTTTATTTGCGTTCATCATTTATGTAAAAAAAATATCAACAATCTAATGGAGGTATTTTTATATAATTTAGTTGTAATCAATCGCTCTATTTTTCTTTTTTTAGGGGAAAAAAAAATTAGGAATGAAGTCGCAAGTGATCCTGATTTGGAATTTTTCTTTCCTTTTTTAGTCTATTGAAAGCTTCGTTGTTTATCACTTGGAGTGGGCATTCCATTATTGTAACTTTTTAAATTTATTTTAAGTCTGGTTTACTTCAATTGTTCAAGTCTCCGAGAAAGATGTTCTTGAAAAAAGAATATACAAACTAAGAAACATTTCCTTCGATTCGGTCAATTTTTTCTTTTTTTTATTTTATTAAAAAAAAAGTTAAAGTGGATAAGTCAGTCCGTCGAAAATGTTTGAGACAAGAGTCGGTGTCACACTTTGTCAACAATGTCAAGGTCATATTTTAGTTAGTATTTTTACTACATTTATTTGACAATTAAATCTTGCAATATGACAAACTTTGCCTCTCGGTTCGAATTGACAACAAATGAACGATGTACAACCACTTTTTGATAATTTCACCTCTGCATGTATTGTAAACTAAACTGAAACACCTTGACATTCATGATCTGAAAGTGTTCAAGTTCATTTCATTTTTAATTCTCAGAACTCGAGAAAAATATTTTTCAATTTAGTCTTTTTCTTTTTAAATAGAATATCGTACAGTTAAATTAAAAAAAAATATGATGGAAACATAAAAAGTAGAAAGTAAAGAATCATTTGGATTGTTGGTATAGTTTATTTTATAACGTGGCTTTTCCTTTACGTTCTTAATCTTATTCTTATTCCTAATGGTTGTTGCAACTTGTCTAAGATTCTCTATGTTTTGGTAAAGGTTAAGTTTCTGCTTTCCCCACAAAAAAATACATCTTTTTTTCTTCTCTATAATCCCGCAGTGAAAGTTTTGATGTCAATTTATTTATTTTCATCACTTTTTACTTGGAATGATATACACATCTTGATCAGAATGGTCACTTGTATAACTAAAAAAAAAAAAAATTATTTTATCAATTAACTTCCAATTCCTCAATAGCTTCTGTTACGAATGAAAAAAAAAAGGAAAATGTGATGAATTTGTTTCAAAGCAGGTAATTAAAATAAAAATATTAGTAGACTAAAAAAGGTTTGCGTGACGAAAATGGAAAATAAATAACATGGAATTTTAAAATACTTTTTAACTTTTATATTTTTCTTAAATTTAATTTGTAGTTTATTAATTTTCCAAAATGCAAACTTTTACAAACATTTATTAACCTTTCTGATACACTTTTTTTTTAGTTTTCAGTGCACAAGTTTTTTTTTTTTTTTTTTGACTGAGTGAGCGCTAAGCTAAGGAAGCACTGCTTTTTTTTTTTTTTTTTTTTGATGTATTTCTAAATGGTGGGCCAGAAGAAAAAAAAAAAGTGAAATTATTTACAGAAAGTAACAACTACTCAAAATAAATCAAAATCACAAAATAAAATTTATTTTTTTAATTGAAATACTAAGAGTACTAAAAAGTTTTTAGGCTCGATTCACTTATAGAATCTGACCAAATGGCGCATTTTTTTTTTTTTAAAAAAAAACAATCTTTTTCTAGTTTAAACAAGAACTTTTATTTTCAGCAAGCATTCCCATGCAGAAATATAGACTCAGATTCTTAGAACAGTAACACGCATAGGAAAATAGTATTTACTTTTCTTTTCTTTTTCTCACTTGTTTAGTTTATTTTGGTTTAAAAAGAAAAGTAAAAAATATATCCAGTAGTTACTACTGGATATTTTCTTCGGTAATCCATTCAAATCAAAATGGTTTCAGTAAGAAAGCAACTTGTATATATTTGTAACAAAATCTTTGTCGCCTTATTTAAAACACTAACTCACTAACAACATTATATATAGTATTCAATTTACTAGTATTACTGACTTACTAATTGAACTTTTCGCGTCTTTTTTGTAACTTCTCACCAATTCCTAACTATAATTAAATTATCGCATGAAATATTCCTATGTTTTTTATTTATTTTTTTACTTTTCTTTTTAAACCAAATACATTAATAAACAGGCGGGGGGACAAAGAAATACTATTTTATTTTCCTATGCGTGTTCTAAGACTCTGAGTCTAAAACGGGTTGAGTTCAAAATTCTGGGAGAGTCACCGGAATCGACAGACACCCGCTGAAGAAGGCTAGAGCGTACAACGGCCAAAACGTTGTGATGATAATAACAAAGATAAGGATATTAAATTAAATCCAACTGTAAATTAAATATTGTAAGTAAATAATTCAGAAGTTGAAATAAGAGAATTTACTGGTTGACCCAATGATTTTGCCTTCTTTTTTGTTTGTTTTGTATTCCATAAAATAATACGTTTTTTTTTTCTTCATTTATTTATTTGCAAACTCTAATTCACGCTTTATAATACCCTTTTCTTTCATGCGCGTAAAGGTGGTGCTGAAAATATCTCAGCTCAAGCTACCTGCCAAATTCAGAACAAATGACCAAACATCAGATTTTTTTATTTTTCAGCATTCCCTCGTATTTTTCGTAGGTGAGAACGCCACTTATCAAAATTTAGTACAATTCGTACTCTTTAGTTTTTTATCACACAACGTCGACACAATGTGACTGTCAATTTGACAAGTAGTAGTAAATAATGCTAAATTACTATACCACTAATTTTAAAGAAAGGCTAAAAATAATTGAAGCTATTTTCTACAAAAAAAAAAAAAAAAACAGCTCACATTTAAACATAAAATTTTTCACCCTGGGCTGTGGAAAGACATTAAGTAGGCTTAAGCCCATACCACGCTGAAATATCGGTTCCCGTATAATCACTGAATTTAAGCAACGTCGAGCCTGTTCAGTACCTAGATGGGTGACCGCTTAGCAATACAGGTGCTTGGATGCTTGGTAGGCATAAAGTAAGCTTGGATGTGTGTAGGATAAAGGATAACATCTCCGAATGAGAAGTCAGAGAAAATATTGTAAAATATATATAAAATATTTAATATCTTCATTCTTTGGTTCTATGAAACCATTCTACACATGACATAAATAGTATTTATATTTAAATTTTGTGTTCCAAAAAAATGGTAGGATGGCACTTTTCTCTGATACTGACAACACTAAGGTCCTGATAATAACCAGGTCAGTTGAAAAACTCTTGAAAAAAAAAGTAAATATAAACATTGGACATTTTCCTGACAAATTTGATCCAGATATCTGATAACTTATTTGCTCAACCAAGCCTGCTTATTCAGTTTCTTATTGCATATTTATTTAGTATTTACAGTCAACATGAGTTGCCATACATCTGGATCAGATTTATAAAGACATTATCTTAAGTTCTTCACATAATGCTTTAAAGTATATTCACCACTGCCAGTTATTATTATCAAGAATGTTAAAATAAAAAAACAAATTTTTTTTCAAATTAAATTCTAACTTTAAATGAATGTGTATTGAATCATAGTGATGTCATACAGTTTGTAACTATAAGGGATATCCAATATCAATTTAGTTTTTTTTAATTAAAGTAGTTTATTCAGTAATAGAACAACTTTACAAAGCCTAGTGATAAGAATATTAATTTAAAAAAAACTTTAAACACTTATTAACATAATGGTTTTGATTGATTTGTTTTTCACGCCTTATCAACCTTTTATAGGCTATTTAAAGATGAAGTATATTTTTGGATTGTAGGAATTATTTTGTTTTTGCAAGGTGATTAGTAACCATAGTAAATAGTAATCATTTTCAGATACAAATCTATTTGACACATAGATGGTGGAGAAGAGCTGAATTCACACCTTTCCCAAGGGTATTTAGGTATAAGTGAATGTAATGAACATGACTTAAATTCGAACTCAGTTTTCTCTGTCACAGCTTGGTGTTGATCTCAGTGTCCATTTTTATCTTTATATATGCTCTATCTCTGATATTGAACACTTTTACCTATAAATATAGCTTACCTTAAAACTATATTTTTATCTGTATTATAGTAATAAAAAATAAAAATTTAAATTAATAAATAAATTAATTGCATTCTTTTGTGCTGCCACATTATTAATATCCATTACATATGAAGTCGCACTAGACTATTTCAAATGTCCAACTTCCCAAAGGATACAAGGATGCAGACAAAGGAATTATAACTATGACACAGACACCCCATCCCTTCTTGATAACGACCGTGAAAGTCAAAAATACTTGAACAAAAATGACAAAATATGAACAGTTTATCCACAATTTTGAGCACAATACACATCTTATCCAAAAATTTGGAAAATATAATAGAAAAATTAAACAGACAGACCTTGTTGGTTCTTTTTAATCAAACTTGTTTGCAGATTATATATATATATATATATATATATATATATATATATATATATATGCACACACAGGGTGATGGACAAATTGCCATCTAAATTGCACAGAAATGAAAATAACATTGACATCTCATTTTAACAGATATATTTACCAATATTACACAAAAATATCTTGAAATACTAAAGAGAAAAGTTATTCAATAAAATTGCCATTGGCTTCAACTATGTCCTCCAGACAACTTGGGTCTTCAGCAGCCACCCTCTTGACCCAGGGCAGCACTACCTCCTCAAGAATGATCGGAGTGAATTTTTCAAACTGCTGTATCTTCATAATCACCATTAGACTCATCCAACTCTTTCTAAATCCTCTGCACTGTCCTCAGATTGACATCCAAACACTATGAAATATTTGTATTGGAGCTTCCTTCATGAATGTCAAGCACTACAACATGCCATTTTCAAATTTCTGGTGGAGTGAATTGTGTCATGGTACTTTATTTTTCATAGATGGTGCCCAACTGACCCTACTATATACTGTGCAGTTGACAAAATCAAAAACAAAGCGCATGTGGGAAATTAAAAATATAAAATGGTGACAATTTACCCATCTCACCCTCTGTGTGTGTGTGTGTGTGTGTATATATATATATATATATATGTGAAAAGTGTATATAAATATAAATAAATATAAGTATGTATAATTATTTATATATTATATGCACGGTACTTATTAGAAAGCGCTCAATATCAGAGATAGAGCTATATATATATATATATATATATATATATATATATATATATATATATAAGGTGTATCTAATCCAACAAGAAAAACTTATTAAAAAATATAATAGGCATAACTTATCTGTTTTCTTTAGCTTTTCTATGTGTGTGTATAAATTTAATTTGGATGTCCAGCAAGATATACCATTTGGAAAAATGCAGCATTAAATTGAACGGACATGACTTGTTGGTTGAAATCAGTAAAAGAAATACATATATATTTTTAAATCTGTCTATATCTATGTATTTCTCTCATAGGCATAATTTTAAGAATGTCACAAGATAGGGATTTGAGAAAAATGAAAAAGTAATAAGCAAGAAAACTGGATTGAGCAGCAAGAAAATATTTGAAGAAGCTACTTTTGTGAATTTGAAACAGAAAAAAATGTAGAATATTGACTTATAAAAGAAACCAAACTATCACATTTCAGTAGATAATTTTTCTCACCAGAATCTATCTTATATATTTATGTCTACCTTTTCTGCTACATCTGGTCTGGTGCTTCTGCTATGTATTTAGAGATGCTTGATAAAATCCAAAGAAGACATTATCATTCCTGATCTGGCATCATGGCTTCAGGCACTTTCCCACCAATGTAATGTAGCTTCCCTGTACCTATTTTTTTTATAAACATTTTCATGTTAATTGTACTAATGAGCTTTCCTCTTTGGTACCTAGACTTTATGAATTTAAGCACAGTAATATATTGGCAGCTTGTTCTCATCATTTTACAGTTGAAATGGCTAGCTATAACTGTAAGTTTGATACTAGCAGTTTCTTCTCACACTTTTCACTGGTGGGGCTCTCTTTTGGCTTCTTGCTTTCTAATCAACTTTGATTTTCAAAAATTTAAATGCAATATCAATTGTTATCTTCTGTCTTCTTAATTCCTGTTATTTTATTGCCATCACTCCTTATTAATTTTTTCTCATTCTTTCAAGCTCAGTAATATAACCCCTTACATCTTAATAGCTTTATTGTCTTCCTTGCAGTGAAATGATCATATCACATAGAGAAATGTATAAGTTGGGTGAAAAAGTACATAAAAACTATTTTCACAACAGTATTTTGTTTTTGTTATGTCAAGATGATTTCTTGTGATATTTTCTCTAAAATTCCTTGTAAGTAAATTTTATTTTCTCATTGATAACATGGTTGGTGAAATTATTACTGATAGGTGTTTTGTTCTCTAAATTCCTTAGAAAATAATGTATCCAAAGAAGAAGTTATTTTTGCTTAGTTAATCATGCCTTTTATAACAGTTCTTTTTATATCTGTGAGGATATTCACTTTCACAATTAAAAAGATACACATTTTTGTATGTGGGTTGTTTATGAAGTAAAAGAGTAAAATTATGAACATTAGCAGTCTCTTAAAATGTCAAGGAAAGGGATTCTATTATAAATGTTAAGTCCATTCATAAAATGTAGAAGAGTTTTTCTCAAACGTTTCTTTAAAGTTTTTTTTATTCCATCTAGTTTTTTCATTAATATGAATATACCATTGATATCTCAAACATAATCCTAGTTTTGGTATAATTATTAAAGATTTTGTTTTCTAAAGTAGGACTAAGAGGGAAAGATATAGTGATGCCATAAGTCTGTGTGCAAATGTTGCCATTGTGTAGAAATCTATATAGAATTGTTTGTCTAATATTTATAGGTTCCAGATTTTGTATACAAATAGATGTCTCCAGCACATTTTATAAATGGTTGATTGAGTTCACATCAAGTAAATATGATAACAATACTTGATTACTTGTCAGAAATCTGAATGTTCCTGAAACCAATTCTGTGTAACTGATGACATGGTTCATTATTCTGCTACTATTATTTAGTCAGATCCAATTCATGCTACACAAACACACCCACAACCTATAGGTTGGCAGTGTGGAGTGTACCTTGTTGATAACTGGGATCTTTAACATAGTTTGAGAAATGTCAAATGTCCCCATAATTTCAGAAATAGAATACTCCCTTCATCTAGCACATTTTATCAAACCTCATTGGAACACTAATAATTTGTGTTGCCTTGTCTAGACAGTGTTTTATACTGAATCACTAGTTGCCAGAGTATAACTGATATAAGTCTAGGTATTTCTATAATCTCAAGGTACAGTAGTACCAACTACCATTACCTTCACAAACTGCTATCCTATGACTTTTGAATGTCTATGTACATAACTCATAAAAACTACAAATGTGCTACACACAGAAGAGAACCCCCACCCCCCAAAAAAGAAACATCAAGAGCAGTTATGTAAACTACTTTGTGATAGAGAAATAATTTAAGAAATGTATCTTTGAAATTATAAAATGCATAGATCTAGATAAGGCTCATAAGTATAGAATCCTGTCTTTTTCAAAAACGTGAACATTTGATAAATGGAATTAATTAACTCAAAAACATTATAAAATAATCCAAAATGAAATTATTTGTTATTAACCTTTGATGATTTTGCTGACAATGCTGACTCAGCAGTTATTTGTTTGTTTGTTTGTTCTATGACTGAGGATTTTGCTAGCAGAAATTAATCACCTTGTATATGCTCACAGGTCAGACACCTGGAATTAAAAATGTTAAAAATAAATGTCAAAAAGCAGAACAATAATTTGGTGATTATATATGCACAATGCACTTTCTATGTGGACAAAATCTACTCTTTATTTTATATGACAAAATATGAAAGGTTATAGAATTGTCAGTTTCACAATACTCTTAGGTTGAGTGCTGCTACATATATAATGAAAACATACAAATTCACTATTCAGGTATATAATTGGAT